CCAGTGATCACATTCATACACCAGTGATCACATTCATAAACCAGTGATCACATTCCTACACCAGTGATCACATTCATACACCAGTGACCACATCCATACCCCAGTGATCACATTCATACACCAGTGATCACATTCAATGAGTCTCTATGAAAGTAAGTTTTGTACGCTTGTGATGTGAAATGTTGAAAACTGTGAACCACCTCTTAAAGCTTTCACACAGCAGCTGTTTGAGTATTTAATTTCAGCCTGTTTCTGTCTGCCTCTCATTAACTTGGAAGTCAGGGAGTGACCAACAAAGATGCATTGTTACCATGATCACCATAATGAGTCACCGGCAGAAGCTTTAACACTTCTTTGGCTCTTGGTTCTCAACTTATGTAGCTTGTACATTAAAATATAATCTTTTCTAGAAGAAAATTGATATTGGAGTTTACAGCATTGGTGCCCTTCAAAGCGTGTTTTATTTTTATATTAGTACTTTACTTACTCTCCTTTTTCAGCTGGGCGATGATGGAATATTCTCCTCGGTTCATTGTTCTGAGAAAACAAATAGTTGTGAGGGGGTGCACAAGTCGTCTTAACTTGAAGGTATCTAAATGCATTACGTTTTGATAGGACGTCTTCATTTGCTTTTAATTTTTTTTCTCTCTTCCACTTTTAGTTATAAACTCATTTTTATTAGAAGCTTGTGGGGAAGACCTGTAGTTGAAGTGCATGACAGCTTGGATGGCGTTCCCTCCCCCGGTAGTAATGTCTCCTTCAAAGCCAGGAAGCAGAGGCGTGACCACGTACACACGATACTTCTTACCTTCCCTGGAAGCAAAGAACACATGGCTTCATTTTTGCAAAAATGTTCTCAATGTTACATTGTAAAAGCTGCTTAAGAAGCTGAAACCAAGCTAAAACGTTTTATTAGCTAAATTGTTAATTAGAGTTGAATTTGAAAAGTTGACGTTTGGTAAAAGCAGTAAAATAAAAGCGGAAAGCAGTGATAAAAACAGGAGAAATGTAGAAAAAGCTGAATAGAACAGGAAAATAGTTGAAATTATCAGAGTAAGCTGAAATAAGCAGAGAGAGGCTGATCAGGGAACAAACTGTTCAAATGAGCAAAAAGAAACTGAACAGAGCAAAAAAGAAACTTAAATTTGCTTCAAAAAGACATAAAAAGCTGAAATTAACAGAAATGTTACAACAAACAAACTATAACTAAAATTATCAGAAAGAACCTGGAAGGATCCGAATAAACTGAAATAGCTCAAAATACGGCAAATAAACAAAGCTGAACTGTGACCTTGACTTTTACCCCATGACCTTGAAATCAACTGAGATCATCATTATCCCTTGACGTGTCTAGCTGTGCAGTTTCTACGTAAAAGGGTTGTCATTTTAGAGCTTTTTTTTTAAAAAAAGGTGAATTTTGATCTTGAACTTTGCCCTGTGGCCTTCAAATCAGTATGAACCCATGAGATGTGAGAAGCTTGACATGGATATAAGCCACTACTTTTTCACAGGCTTTGAACACTGCGACTTATACAATGCTGCAACTTGTTATGGATTTTTTTTATTTTGAAATGCTAACTAGCTTCCTGCCACCAAAACATTTAGTCTCGTCACACCCGGGCGCTCACAGAGCTGTCCAATACACGTCTCTCTTGAGGGTGGGTCCTCGTGACTCAATGAGACTTCCTGTTTAAATAAAGATAAAATAAAAATCAGATCAATTAAATTATTGAACAGGTCACAGTGGACCAATGAAAGCTAGAATTACCATAAATCAAATGCACTCACCCTAAATTATTTAGATCAGTAATTTTGTGCTTCATGCACAAACCCTCATCATGGAAAACACATGAAGAAATATAGATGATGCAGCTTTCAAGTTAAAGGTGATCGATCTGGCTGTCGAAGGAGGAAATAGAGCTTCTGCATGTAAACTTGGCATCAATGAATCGATGGTGAGACGGAGACGGCAGCGTCAAGAACTGAGTAAACGTAAAAAGGTCGACAAAAGCTTTCAGAAGTAAAAAAAAAAAAAAAAAAGGTAGATGGCCTGAACTTGAAAAGATCTTGAAGACTGGGTGAACACACAGAGAGCAGACAGCCGAGGTGTTTCCACCGTGCAGATCCGACTGAAAGCCAAAACAATCGCCACCAAAAACAAGATTGAAGATTTTAGAGGTGGACCATCGTGGTGTCTCAGATTAATGAGGTGAAAAGCCCATAGACATAAAGATCAGAGACTTTTCCTGGTAGGCTACTGTATTTTTTTTTTTTTTTTACCAGCCATGTTACAGGCACTATCCAGAAAAAAACATTTACTGTACGTATTTGAGCATGTTAATGGTGCATATTTAATTAAAGGTTTAAAAAATATGTCTGTGTAAATATCTCATGTTACAACGTGGACACCTGCGGCTTATAAAAAAAATTACAAAATTGTTTTTTTTTTTTTTTTTTAGTTGGTACAGCTTATAATGTGTTTGGGTGTGCTCATTAGTCCAGAAATTACAGTATTAAAAGGTTATTAAGTAAAACCACTTTAAAGAAAGGTGCAACTTTGACCCCGACCTTTGACTCCATGGCCTTAATACCAATAGAGTGTAAAAGCTGAAATTAGCAGAAAAATAAAACAAAATAGAGCATAAAATTTCTAAATTTCAGAAAGAAGCCGAAGGGAACAGAAAAAATCTGTAATGAAATTAGAAAACAAGCTATAAAAAACTGTCAAACCATAACAAAAGGTGAAGTGAGCAGTAAAAGGTTGTAAAAAGCATAAAGTGTTGAAGAATGTGAAGAAAGCATAATTCATTTTCAACTGGTAAATATGGCCAAACAAAATAAATATTTTAAAAAGCACAAATTGCAGAAATACCAAGTCGTAGTAGGAATTTCCTGAATGAGCAGAACAGTTTGATTTATAAATTGCTGCAATAGCACCAAAAATGTGAGTTGAGTGCTGAATGTTTTTTAAAAATTCACACAATAATGACACGTACTTATGCGCCCTGATGATCCTTTCAATGATGGCGTCTCCAATCTTGTTGTAGACGGTCCTGTTGTCAGCACAACTGATGAAAAACTGGTTCTGTAGATGGAACAAAATAAAACATATCATTGTTAAGCTTCCTGTTGGAGGGGGAGAAATCTGGATCACATATATGTGTAACTATATAAAAAATGGTGTATTAAAATCACAATAATTTGAATTGTGCATGATGTTGCTGTAATAAGGCCTGATATTGGGATAACAATGCATATACATATATTTTTATATATATATATATATATATATATATATATATATATATATATATATATATATATATATATATAATTTTTTTTCATTAACCCTTTATTTATACGGGTAGTCTCATTAAGCCACGAGAACTCATTTTCAAGAGAGACCTGTTTAGGGAGCACATAGGGGTTAAGGGCCTTGCTCGTGGGCCCAGAGTGGGGAGAATGAGGGTGGGGCAAGTGTGGGTGCTTCACCTACCCCACCCACAATTTTTGATGTTTTCGAGGCTGGGGCGTGAATCAGCGATCTTTGGATCACAGGCCCACCTCTCTAACCTCTGCGCCACCACTCCCCCCATAAATATATAATGTGTATATAAGAGAATTTGCATCATTTCATAACAAAGAACCCGTTGAAGAAACAATTGACGGAGTACAGGTTGGATGATAAGGATTTTTTTTTCAATTTCATTTTAATACGCTACTGAATGTATTTCAATTGAATTCAGTTTATTTATATAGCGCCAAGTCACAACAGAAGTCGTCTCAGGGCACTGAACGAAAACATTCATACACATCAGGGGTGTTCAGTTAAAACTCACTGAGGTCCAGTTACCTAAATGTCCTCCTGGTAAAAGGTCTGAACGAAAGTCCGACTTTTGTCTTATGGTCTTGCCTACCCATTTTCACATTTTCACAGTTAACAAACTGCACTTTATAGTAAGCAACTAGCACCATAATTAAAAGTAGTCCCAGGCAAACAAATGTAGGCCCTTTATTTCAGATTAAAACAGAAAGCTCATAATAAAATACATCTTAAATGTGCAAACAAAGCCTAAAAAGTCTTTTTATCTTAAATTGAAGAGGTCCAAGAATTGAAGGCTTACAATTAAAGTAAAAAAAGTTAACATCTTTAGAAAACAGAAAACAATTTAAATAGTGGGTCTTTTAGTATAAAAAAGTGAAAAATAAGCAAGTAAAGATTTTTCTATTTTTTTTTCTTAAAGAGGCACAAACCTACTGTATAAAAATTTAAGTTTTCAATTAAAACATCTTCAAAAAACAATACATAAAATGTCTCTTTTAGGAAAAACCTGAAAACAGAACATATAACATCACATTTTCTCTTTCGATTACCTTTTATTTTACTTTTCTTAATGAGAGAAATGGACATGGGATTGTCCTGACAGTAAATTAAATCTTGGTTAAAATGGAGTCAGAGCCATTTTCATGTAGGAAGCTGGCATCATCATTAACATCTGTAGACTCATTGATGACACTGAACAGCTGCATCCAGCTGTGCCAGCACATCATCTGCTAATATTTCTGATTTTCTGCTTGCTGTTGAAACTGACATCGGGATTTGTTAGATTTTTTTCACACATCTCTTCTTTTTGTTTTCCATCAAATGTCTCAGCAACAACATTTAAGCACTCTTTCACGATTGTCCCGTCACTAAATATTTTTTTATGTTGCTCCAAAATCCACGATACCTTGAGTGAACATTCAGCAGCTGCTGGGCTCTAAAAGTATTTGTGGTGAGGAGGGTGGATCTGTCATACAGAGCTTGCAGTTTGGTTAATTTAATATTCTCTGGTCGGACTTCACAAGATAAGGACAGTGGCCCCATACTGAGAGATTGTTTTGACCGAACAGACTGGCAGGTTTTCAGAGAAGCTGCTGAAAATGGAGGTTTGCTTGATCTTGACCAATACACATCCTCAGTACTGGGTTACATTAGTACATGTACTGACACCGTCTCCACTATCAGAAATGTTAAAAGCTACCCAAACAGAAAACCTTGGCTGAATGCAGAGGTGCGTACCCTGCTGGAAGCCAGGAACACTGCCTTCAGGTCTGGAAACTCAGAGGAGCTGAGTAGGACAAGAAAAGAGCTGGTTGCTGGTGTAGTATGTCATATGCTGGATATTTCATACATTTTTCACGAGTTCCTCATCTTTCTGACTGTGTAAATGTCGTGCGTTGAGTTTAACAGAAATGCGAACGAGAGACGTTATTATCTTTGACCCATCAAATGAATGCGGTCATTTATTTTCAGAATCAAAGTTTAACATCAAACATTTACATTAATTTGGCAAAATATGAAAATAATAACAGACAAGTTTCACAGATAATGGACATCAATCACACGGCGGTGACTGAGGACTTTGCTTCAGATATTTCTAAAATATCTGTACTGATTTTAGGAGAAAGGAGAGTTTAAGATGGAAATGGAGATTTATCTTACAGAGAGATGTGTGAGGGAATTAATCTGTTTGACCAGAAACGTGCACGCTCCTTCAGATCTCAGCTTGCCCACGGTACACTTGGTCGAAAATAGAACCTTCTACCTGGTTGATGATAAAATCAGCGTCGGCGTAGGGTTCCTTTCTGACTCTTTCAGCGTCTCCGTGAGGACTGCCAAACCCTTAGAGAGTCGTACGAGGTTATCCAAACAGAAGTTATAATCCCAAAACGTCTCTGGATCATCTTGAATGCGTTTGCATCCAAGAACTCTGAACTCCTTTCATCTCTTTAGCTCTTACACTCTAGCTCTTTAACTCCATCACTCTTCAGCACTCTGTGTGGAACTCTCAGAGCTCTGCAGCATCAGACTCTCTAAGAACCGGGAAGTTGCCACATTTTAAATGAGTTGACTTCCGGGTCAATTTAGAGCTTTCTGATTCGTGGATGGACCAGAATAGAGGTGTGGTTTGTGATGTAAGATGTTATCAAATTCAAGGGCAGAGAATGAGATTGTTTAAAAACAGACAGAAAGATTATTGCAGAAAACCAGACTTCGTGGAGTCAAACTCTTCTGTATCTTCTGTAAAGATTAAACATGACATTTCTTCTCGGTAAACATTTTAGTTGACCGAGACTCGACCTCTAACATACTTACAAAACTTGCTCATTGCAGACAGAAAAATCAAGAAATGCATATTAACCTGATTTCTTCTTTGAATGAGGAATAAAAATCATTACTTACTGTTTATGTAAAATAAAAATGAGTAGTTCTCTTCAACCTGTAAGCATTGAGTGAACTAACACAATTTGATTATCAAACATTTGTAAAATAGTAATGATCATAGAGGATTGTCTTTTCTACTTGATTAATTCAAGAAAGAAAGTCTCCAGATGGCTCAAACTGTATTTCTGGATGCAGATCAATGAAATAACAGTCTCTGTCCATCTGGTCAGTTCTTAAGGTCAAGTGTTTCGACCTTAGGCTTATTACTTCAGGTTAGGTTCACTACA